TTACTGATATAGACTAGATTAGACTATTATTCAAAATCTATGGCTAACCAACCTTGGATCAGGGATGTGCTTGTGTCTAACATTGACTGCCTTCTTAGCAGTGATGGGATTAGGTCTGGCAGCAATCAATCCAGATATGGCTACAGGCATGGACCTGGTGTCAACTGGGCCTGACCCAGGTGCAGGGACTACCATAAAGCCACCTGGGGTGCTGGGCAGGGTCAAGAATGCTGGGCTGGATGTAAATGATGACGCTGAAAGGCTTGAGCTTAGCAATGAGGAGACTGGGATTCCAGGTGGTTATGAACATGACAGCTTGGCAGCACAGGGGACGAGAATGTTGGAAATGAATGGTGACCTTGAAAATCATGGTTTCTCTTTGAAGAAGGTGGTGAATTCAAGGAAACAGCCGTAGGAATGCAGTTGGCAGGAGCAGCAGCAGGTGTTTTGCTTGCAAGCTGCACAATGAACCACCCAGCTGTGACGGAGAGTGGACTAATATTGGCGCCCAAGACCAGGCATGGCATCCTTCAGGACCACACCTTCAGTTGGGGGATCTCGTAGTGGGCTAAGTCCTCGTAACAGTGGGCCCATATTCAGGGATGAGATTGGCTACAATTTCAAAGAGTTTCATGAAAAAAAAATGCCACCATTAAATGCCTCCTTGTCCAAAGAGCCTGTTGTGATCAAAGTGTAAGGTCAAAAAGTGAGGACAAGGGGGCATTGGTATAGCTCACCTGGTTGAGCTGTACCAAAGGTGCTGAAGAAGCTTGGGTTGAAGCATACCATAAACCATTTTTAGCTTTTTCTTCTCACTCTTTCCTTCCTTTCCTTTTTAGTCTCCTAACTTTATTATTAAGCCTAAAACATCTTTACATATACACACAAGAATTTTGAGATGCTTGGACCCAAAGAGGTAGACAGAAATAACCAAAAAATAAAAGATACAAGTCATAGTTCAGACTGAAAGCAGTCCAAAGGACTTACGTTTAGGACTGGTAAAGCTTACGTTTACCAGAACTAAAATTCACAAGAATACTAAAAAAATACTACAAAAATTAAAGGAATGAACAGGAATCTGAAAATACAATAAACACAAATAAAATAAGAGCAATAGCCGGGAAGACGTAACCAGAAACTTAGCTGATTTAAAACTCCAGAACACAAGACTTCTGCTAAAAGTAGACTATTTTCCATCCATCCTATTCACCCCATTGTGGGGGGAAAAATCTAGTTAAATGATACAGATTTTATTAAAACTGACACAGCAAGAGGATCCTTTCACTGAAATTTGTGTCATTTAACAGAACAACTAAATTCAAGATAGCAGCTTGGCTGGATGGGTGCCTTCCCTTCCACACAGGCTATTTTACTCTCCCACAGAGTGAATTGATTCTCCCATGTGTTTGGACACCGCTCAAGCTCAGCCACTGACACTGAGCAACTGCCAAACAAGACAAAAATTCTTTGATCACCAAATGATTGTTAATGTCTTGTGGAAGAATATTCAATTAGCCAGCGGGTACATTTAAAAAATATTAACCTGCTTCTGTTACTGTTGCCTTTCTTTGTTCAACTTCACACAGAAATTCTTTGCATCCACAACATATTCAAGGACTTTAATGTTTACTTTCCCATCTTTGAATTTCTTCTCTTGGTAGCAATCATAACAACCGCTTGATGACTAATGCAAGAAAAGCAGAGAACGAGACTTACATCGAGACAGGGAAGGAGAGAAAGACGCTAAGAAAGAAAAGCAAGAGTAGGGAAAAAATGAGTGAGGGAGACAGAGAGAAAGAGCTAGGTGCTAGGCCCTCATCATCGATCGCCCACACATATATTCCATCCACTTCTCCATCACTCCATTACCTCCATGTAAATGACAGCTCTCTGTGTCCCGCTGAGGGGAGAAAAGGCCTATTAACACCACAGCACATGAAGCCCAAGCACTGTTTTCAGCCCACGCAGAGTACTCCTTCACCCTCACACTCCCACACTTATATACACACACTCATACGTGCACATACAGTACACAGCTGGGCCAGGGAAAGGAGGGCGGATGCAAAGAAGAGGTGGGCAAGGGATGGTCATTCAGTAGAGTTTCTAATCTGCTGCACAAAAGCAGAGGCAAAAGATGAAATCACTTATTATGCCTTGATTGTTGGTGGGTGTGGGCTCCGACAGCCGGCAACGTGCCTCGTGGGTAAATCAAGCATTACGAACCAACCTGCCCATCTTTGTTACTCATTTTCTATACTTCATGTCTAATTTCTCATCGCAGACGGAGAAAATTTATACCACAGTGACAGACGGACGGGTGTATCTGTGTTATTATTTGACATTATGGAGCACACTGGAGGACGTTCCCTCAGTTGAGACATCACATTGGCCATAATTTCTGTCAAAAGCAGGAAAAACAACAAAGCGTGTTTGACAAGACAGACAAATGCTCCCCTTGTTCATCAGAAAGCCATACACATTAGCGCTGGACCGTGACTGCTGTCCCTTCACATGGAAACGCACCCAGATATCCCATCAGCTTCCCTTCCGTATTATTATGGAGCCAGTGGAAACACAGACTAATATTTAAAAGGGGAATGGAAAAGACAACGGCATATTACGGACATTCATCCCCTTCTCTCTCTGCCCAGTGAGGTGTGTTTGCATTCCCACTATCCCACCACTGAAGCAAATTTGGAATTTCTGATTGCGGCGTCAAAATAACCATGTGTTTTCTCACTTTCTCATGGCCGCTGGATATCACTGACCACCATGTGGCTGTCGCTCACAAAGGGCACCTTTTCCATCCCGGCGTTAACAAAGCATCCTTGACAAGACTGTGGAGTTGTTTGGAGGTCATGTTCATAGCATTTGGAAAACGCACTCATGGAAATATGGAAGTTAAAAACAAAAGGAAAACCCAACAGTCAAACACACACAAACACAAAAAAAACAGTGGCACCTGTTTAATGTACCCAGTAAATAATGGAGTTACAATCAGTCACTCAGAAAAGTGTGTAATTATGCTAATTTACATTCAATGCAGTTGGTGATATGTGTGCATAAAGTGGGGTCAGGTCAGCCATCACGTCAGGTAGTATAAGAACCTAAAAGAATTACAACTGTATAACTGCAAAATTATTTATTTTCAGTCTATTTATTACGTAAGTGCACAAGAAATTATGTACATATGCTCTAAGAATGCTGTTTATATGAGTATTTCACAGCTACGCAGTTTTGATAAAAAAAAAAAAATCAATGCTGAAAATTTTGTCCAGTGTAATGAAACAAGATATTCTAGCTCACATCAGGAATGCCCACATCGTCTTTAATTGCTGGTTCAAAGATATGTACAGTAATTACAGATCTTTGTGTGGACAAGGCATTGCAGTTTTCTATAAAGCAAACGCCTTTAAAGCTTCTTGTGACCACTGATCCAAAGCATGTTCACTGACTCACACACACAGCGAGCTAAAGAATGAAAAACGCTCGACACAGTCTGTGCTGCTACATTGTGCCTGTTGTGGCTCAGCGCTCTGGAAGATGACTGAGCTTGTACAGGAACTATGTCTGAAATGTCTTTCTAATCAGTTTATCCGCAAAGATGTACAATGAATTTGCAATTTCTCTGTTTTTCTAACAATATTCATGGTGCAAAGCAGATAAAGCAAGGTTCTTTTTTTTAATTCATTGTTCTGTCTTCACAAATCAAAGACTGTGTATTAGATAAATATGGAAAAACTAGATTTTAACATAAGGAAGGAGGCGTTTTAACCTAAATCTCTGTTAGCCCAAAGTAGTCCTATGCTCTAAAACTTGCATCTTTAACATCGGCTCTTAAATTTGTGCACAAATCGACATGCCCAGTTCTATAAGCTCTCATGACGTAGCTCTTCCCAGACTATAGCATTGCCTCTGATTAAAATTGTTGCCTGTGTTTTCTCCAAATCCATAGTCACGTAAAAATAAATATGTACGTGTTGCTTTCAGTTCGGTTACATTTATTTATTTATTTTGTGATGTGATTTCATTTAGCAAGCAAAAACAAACATTACATTACATTTAGTTTAAAATCTGAACGCCATGCTTCAAAAAGAAGGGCTATGGATCCGTAACCAAATGCATAGTCTAGCGACATGTGTGCACTGATTTCATATGATACCCAAAGAGGTCTCACAAGGATATGCATGTCAGGGTTTTTTTGTTTTTTTTGTTTTTTTTGGGGGGGGGTGTTTGGTTTTGGTTCTGTTGGCTTGTATTACCAATTTTATTCCCTTGTCTTTCAATCTCCATTTGTCCTTCCTCCATCACGCTCACTTGCAATCTGCAGCCGAGATTTTCTTGCTTGAATAAATTACACATGCAGGTGTTATCTTGTGAGAGGAATATGCGCAAGAAATGAACTCGCAGAAAAAGTACCACGGACACACAGTAATTCATCTTTGTTAATTGACATTGTGTGTGTGTGTGTGTGTGTGTGTGTGTGTGTGTGTGTGTGTGTGTGTGTGT